ACACCAATCACAAGAAGCACCCATGCAAAACGATGCAACATCTACAACACACTCTACCACACTGCTACAACAACCACTCACACCAATACAATACTGTATTTTGACAGTCATGATGAACATGGTACCACTCTTAATAACCCTTAAACTGCGCATCTAAATTAATTAGGAAATCGAATGAAAAAAAAAATGGTTACGCATGGCGCTTGGAACGGGGTAAGGGTTAACTGTAAAGACTTTCTTCACACATTTGAATAATGATTGTATTCTGTTATTTATTCCATTGTTTAATGGAAATGAAGGGAAACTCAAATGGGGTCTCACTTCTCCGTAAGTCCGGATGGAATAGAAGAATAACAGTCTAGCAATACACCGATTGGTCGGTTTTAGTGATTGGATAAATGAAGGAAATTTGATGAAACGGGATTTCTGCTGTAAAAAAATTCAGATCCAAATTGTACGTTATGGACCGTGCAATAAATATCTTCTTAAGAAAAGTAATCATATTTTATATATAATTGTTTATATAAGTTATTTTATATATAAGTTACCCGTCTACCAGGTAACACAGCAGACGCGGGATCGCAGGAGTGTTTCAAGCACAGGTTGCACATATATATGAATGAGTTTGGGTGGATATAAATAGAAGCTGCCTCTTATGGGCCAATAGTAGCTTTCTAATATGGACTAATTGGCGCGGTCTCATTTGAGACAATATGCCTTGCGTTGAATGATCTTCTACAGTTGCCTTAATATTCTCTAACACATTCGACTACTTGGGCTGGACGGTAGAGCGATGGTCTCGCTTCATGCAGGTCGGAGTTCAATCCCCGACCGTCCAAGTGACTGGGCACCATTCCTTCCCCCCCCCGTCCCATCCCAAATCCTTATCCTGACACGTTTCAAGTGCTAAATAGTCGTAATGGCTTGATGCTTTCTCCTGATGCAACTTTCCTTCTGTAACACATTATGTATTTGCAACCATTCTGCAACTACTCTGCTTTCTCACGACAAAACAAGGTGTGGCAATCATCAGGAAAGTGTAGTAAACCAGTAGGACTATGAAGCACTTAGAATGAACCCGACAATGATGCTGGGATATGAGACAGACTAGGAGCTGGGATATGAGGACAAGGATGCTTTGATATGATATGAACTAAGAGCTGGGATATGAGGACAAGGAGGCTGGGATATGAGGACAAAGATGCTGGGATATGAGACAGACTAAGAGCTGGGATATGAGGACAAAGAGGCTGGGATATGAGGGCAAGGATGCTTCGGACGGACTAAGAGCTTGGATATGAGGACAATGCTGCTGGGATATGAGGACAATGCTGCTGGGATATGAGAACAATGATTCTGGGATATGAGGACAAGGATGCTTCGATATGAGACAGACTAAAAGCTGGGATATGAGGACCAGGATGCTGGGATATGAGGACAAAGAGGCTGGGATATGAGGGCAAGGATGCTTCGGACGGACTAAGAGCTTGGATATGAGGACAATGCTGCTGGGATATGAGGACAAGGATGCTTCGATATGAGACAGACTAAAAGCTGGGATATGAGGACAAGGATGCTGGGATATGAGGACAAGGATGCTGGGATATGAGGACAAGGATGCTGGGATATGAGGATTATATATATATATAAAGTAAAACGCATCCATCAGTCTCAGGAGACTATGGAGCTGCGCTCTGGTTGTCGGTCGAAGCTAAGATAGGTTGATATAGAGGAGAAGCTGTTACCCATGCAGCAGGTCCCCCTTCTCCACGGCGCCGAAAATCTCCAATGGAAAGGTAAACGCACGAGCCCCGGGAGGTGGACGTCCCAGTCCCGCACGAGCCCCAGATGGTGGACGTCCCAGTCCCGCACGAGCCCCAGGAGGTGGACATCCCGGTCCCGCACGAGCCCCAGGAGGTGGACGTCCCAGTCCCACACGAGCCCCGGGAGGTGGACGTCCCAGTCCCACACGAGCCCCGGGAGGTGGACGTCCCAGTCCCACACGAGCCCCAGGAGGTGGACGTCCCAGTCCCACACGAGCCCCAGGAGGTGGACGTCCCAGTCCCACACGAGCCCCAGGAGGTGGACGTCCCAGTCCCGCACTAGCCCCAGGAGGTGGACGTCCCAGTCCCGCACGAGCCCCAGGTGGTGGACGTCCCAGTCCCGCACGAGCCCCAGGAGGTGGACGTCCCAGTCCCCCACGAGCCCCAGGAGGTGGACGTCCCGATCCCGCACGAGTCCCAGGAGGTGGACGTCCCAGTCCTGCACGAGCCCCAGGAGGTGGACGTCCCAGTCCTGCACGAGCCCCAGGAGGTGGACGTCCAAGTCCCGCACGAGCCCCGGGAGGTGGACGTCCCAGTCCCGCACGAGCCCCAGGAGGTGGACATCCCAGTCCCGCACGAGCCCCAGGAGGTGGACGTCCCAGTCCCGCACGAGCCCCAGGAGGTGGACGTCCCAGTCCCGCACGAGCCCCAGGAGGTGGACGTCCCAGTCCCACACGAGCCCCAGGAGGTGGACGTCCCAGTCCCGCACGAGCCCCAGGAGGTGGACGTCCCAGTCCCGCACGAGCCCCAGGAGGTGGACGTCCCAGTCCCGCACGAGCCCCAGGAGGTGGACGTCCCAGTCCCACACCTACGGGTTCCAGACAGAGATCGTCACAGCCCTCTTCCACCCGAGGCCGGCTGCCTTCATGACCCAGCAGAAGGAAGAGTGGTAATTATTAATTAAATTATTATTATAATTATTATTTTAATTATTATAATAATTATGTAACTAATAATAATTACTCTTCCTTCTGCTTGGTCTTGAAGGATGTTTCCAGAGATGAGAGAGAACACCATCACCTCAGCATCACCAGAGATGAGAGAGAACACCATCACCTCAGCATCACCAGAGATGAGAGAGAACACCATCACCTCAGCATCACCAGAGATGAGAGAGAACACCATCACCTCAGCTTCACCAGAGATGAGAGAGAACACCATCACCTCAGCATCACCAGAGATGAGAGAGAACACCATCACCTCAGCATCACCAGAGATGAGAGAGAACACCATCACCTCAGCATCACCAGAGATGAGAGAGAACACCATCACCTCAGCATCACCAGAGATGAGAGAGAACACCATCACCTCAGCATCACCAGAGATGAGAGAGAACACCATCACCTCAGCATCACCAGAGATGAGAGAGAACACCATCACCTCAGCATCACCAGAGATGAGAGAGAACACCATCACCTCAGCATCACCAGAGATGAGAGAGAACACCATCACCTCAGCATCACCAGAGATGAGAGAGAACACCATCACCTCAGCATCACCAGAGATGAGAGAGAACTAACAGATGTCTAAGCCTTGTCGTCTCCGTCTGATGAATATAATATATCAGACAAACCAACTCATCTATCAACAGTCAACTTGTATATAAATCGGTTAATTATATACAGCTTTTATATATTTCTTTAGATTTTCAACGTTAATTAACATATATACAGTTAATTATCTAATAATTATTATTCTATACTAATTATTGGATTATTAAAAGAGCAAAGATCTTCCTGTTCGGTTACAGCTGACGATTCCAAGTTCGATCCCCGTGCAGGACGGAGATGGTTGGAAACGTTTGCTGTTGCCTGATGCCTCTGTTCACCTAGAAGTACATCAGGACCTGGGAGTTAGCCAGCTTTTGTGGGTGGCATCCTGAGGAAGGTCATCAGTGCTGCAAGGCTCACTCTAAGTAAGGCTCACTCTAAGTAAGGCACACTAAGCAAGGCTCACTCTAAGTAAGGCACACTCTAAGCAAGGCTCACTCTAAGTAAGGCTCACTGTATGCGAAGCACACTAAGCAAGGCTCACTCTAAGCAAGGCTCACTGTATGCGAAGCACACTAAGCAAGGCTCACTCTAAGCGAAGCACACTAAGCAAGGCTCACTCTAAGCGAAGCACACTAAGCAAGGCTCACTCTAAGCAAGGCTCACTCTAAATGAAGCAGTGAAAAAACAAGCAACAAATGCATGCACAAGTTTACTCTAGTGTTTACAAACAAGAGCCACAAACAAACAAACAATCCAAACACTGCAAAGTAACCATGGAAAAGGTGAATGGAAAATGAGAATGAAACAGAGTAAAAGGATCATACGAGTGAGAATGTTATCGCAGTTGTGAAATGAGAACGAACTTCCGTCCAAGGTCACCAAGATTTCTCTGGCAGTTCTTCTAGTTTAGAAAATGTTTATCATCTGTTACTGTTGTTATTTATTTTCATTTCATGTTTATTCTGAGTTCATCTTAGTCGAGGGACGAGAGATCGAGCACATTTTACAGCCCCAATAGTGTAAAAGGCTCCGATATTCATATGCAAGAAACTGAGAGGAATATTACGGAGAAGTACAGTGGTCAACAGTCATAAGGTATCATATCAATCAAAATCCAGGACAAGACATGGTAAACTGTTTACAATGGCTTGGTATGGGTATACCAAGGGACTGTGGGGCAAGGGGACAGGTATACCAAGGGACTGTGGGGCAAGGGGACAGGTATACCAAGGGACTGTGGGGCAAGGGGACAGGTATACCAAGGGACTGTGGGGCAAGGGGACAGGTATACCAAGGGACTGTGGGGCAAGGGGACAGGTATACCAAGGGACTGTGGGGCAAGGGGACAGGTATACCAAGGGACTGTGGGGCAAGGGGACAGGTATACCAAGGGACTGTGGGGCAAGGGGACAGGTATACCAAGGGACTGTGGGGCAAGGGGACAGGTATACCAAGGGACTGTGGGGCAAGGGGACAGGTATACCAAGGGACTGTGGGGCAAGGGGACAGGTATACCAAGGGACTGTGGGGCAAGGGGACAGGTATACCAAGGGACTGTGGGGCAAGGGGACAGGTATACCAAGGGACTGTGGGGCAAGGGGACAGGTATACCAAGGGACTGTGGGGCAAGGGGACAGGTATACCAAGGTAGGGGAGAAGTGAGGGGTTCAGGAAAGGGGATTACCTTAAACGACTGCCTGGTGAAGACGGGCATCCCGTCGTCCATCTTGCTGGAGATGAGACCTATGGCGAGCGGGGACCAGGCCATCGTTCCCACTCCTGAAACACTCAGCGTTAATCATGTATTATCAAGCCCGTTATCTATATCTGTAACCAGGAATGTCTGAGTGTCTGTCCATAGATGAAGGATAGATGCTCGAGGATAGGCTCTAGAAGGGCGAAGAATTAGGGGTGACATGATAGAGGTTTACAAGTGGATGAATGGACATAACAAAGGGGATATTAATAGGATATTAAAAGTATCAACACAAGACAAAACACGAAACAATGGGTATGAATTGGATAAGTTCAGATTTAGGAAAGACCTGGGTAAATACTGGTTCAGTAACAGGGTTCTTGATTTGTGGAACCAATTACTGCGTAACATAATAGAAGTTGGATCCCTTGATTGTCTCAAGCGTATGTTGGACATATATATGAAGGAGTTTGGGTGGTTATAGATAGAAGCTGCCTCATATGAGCCAATAGGCATTCTGCAGTTATGTTTATTGTTATGTTAATATGTTCTTAGGCTCACCCGGCATTGCAGTGTGACTAATGTGGGGACAGACACTATCATAGACAAACAAGCACGAATTGAATCCCTTGTCGCCACTTAATTGGGCCATTTACAGATAAATTAATCGATGTATCAAAAGGATTAGTACAATTTGCATATTGTTTCTCTTAACAGACATGTTGTAAACCAGTTTTTCAGGCAATAGAAAGCACTTCAGGAATCCTGTTAGTTATAGAATGCATTTGTGGAATAATCACAACTGGTCTAACCTAATTTACTCTAACCTAAGAGACCTGACGGCCGAGTGGATAGCGCTCGGTATTCATAGTCCTAAGGTTCCAGCTTCAACCCCTGGTGGAGGTGGAAACATATGGGCAGAGATTTTTCACCCAGATGCACCTATTCACCTAGCAGTAAATAGGTACCAGGGAGTTAGACAGCTTCAAGGGGCTGCTTCCTGGGGATGTGTAACAAAACAGAGGCCTGGTCGAAAACCGGGTCTCTGGGGACGCTAAGCCCCGAAATCATCTCAAATAGCCTAACATAACTTAACCTACTTAACCTAACCTAATCTAACCTAACCTAACCTAATCTAACCTAACCTAATATAATCTAATTTAATCTATTCTAAACAAATCTAACCTAACCTAATAGAACAAGAGTCTAAGCTAATTTAACCTAACCTAACATAATCCAACCTAACGAACCTAACTAGTCCAAACTTAACTTAACCTAATGCACCTAACTAAACCTAGCCTAATCTAAATTAGTCGTAAAACCCTTACAGTACTCCACAAGAGACTCGTGTATAAGTCACGGAAGCAGGAGTTTGTTTATTATTTTCTACCACAGACGTGGCCACACACTTTCAATGCTAACCAGCATATTTACATTTTTTTCCCTGTCCTCCATGGACGGGGTTAGAGATCTGTTAAATATATATTGTTCAGTAATACAGGCAGGAGTGACATGGAAGGTGCTCCGTTGAATAAGGGAGTACCTGAGTAAAAGAAGTTAGGGAGTCACTGTGAGGGGTGAGGTTTCAGAGTGGCGAGGCATCACTAGTGGAGTCCAAAAGTGTCATTCCTCAGACCTATTGTTTCTTATATATGCAAATAATCCTGTAGAGGGAGCACACTCAGCGAATCTTACGTAAAGTAACCTAACGTAACGTAATGTAACCTAACATAGTGTCACCTAACCTAACTTAACCACATCTAACCTAACCTTCGTAGCCTAACGTAACCTATCCTAATGTAATATAACCTAACGTAACTTTACGTAACGCAACCTAATGTAACGTAACCTGACCTGATCTAACCTAACCTTGCCTAACCCAATCTAACGTAACGTAACGTAACCTAACCTAAACTGACCTTGTCGGAAATTTTAGACACCACAATTACTAATCCCTGATATAATAAGCTAAATTCGTTATGACAGAAAATTAACCATACTAACTGTATTAATTTTCCAGTGATAAATGTTTAGAAGCTCCCTGAATAGCATGAAGGCGTATTGCATTAGCCAAAATTGGCGACGTGACTGTTATTTCTCCCAAATTCTTAATTCTTCCAGTGTACAATTTAATTATACTTTAAAAGTATTATACTAGACTGTCTTAAATTAAAGCTTAAATAGAACTAAGTAACTTTTTCCCTGAGGCGAAATATACCCGACGTGACTAGTCGAATCAATTGGAGATGAAATAGTCAAGCCATAAACTTTATACATATAAAATATTATTTACTTTCTTGAAAACATCCAGCCGAGCATTACAAATAGTAAAAAACTGTTGTCTGTGATTGGAACTGATAAAATAACGCCTCCCTGTCCTCGTTAATAAATGGGCAGAAATTAGTGACGTGACTAGTAACGTGTCTAACCCCAGAGGGGGAAGAGAAGCCACTGTTGATCTAGTATGGGTCTCGTGAATAAGTAAACTTAGTAGCCAGGTTTATCTATGAAATCCGTGCCTTTACAGCTGCTGGGACCTCCAATTACGAGTCTACCTGTACCCAGATTGTCTAATATCTAGTTTATACATATTACTTGACGTTTTAATAGTAAAATAGATAGATGACCGGTTATACCACAGGTGATCCCAAAAATCATAGTGAGTCTCCTAACATTAAATAACTAATTCTACTGAACGTGATATATCTGTGATATAATATTTGCAGTAGTTACATTGTAAAATTTTGGCAGAACTGTTCTGATCACTAGGGACCCCCAGACGACATCAACCACTCGACACAGGTGGGACAGCCGTCACAGGCCAGGAGCTACATACCTGCTTGATTATCCCGATGCCTATATGAACTCATGTTGAAACCTTCTATACAGATAAGGCCGTTTGAGTATTCAAAATAATACAGTAGTTTAGTTTACTAATCATTATTACAATTTTCCAAACTATCAAGAATTAGCGATAGATAGGCTACAACTGAATAACCCCCCAAGATATGTGTAAAGGGTAACACCCAGCAGAATTAAGGAATTTTAATACATTCCATTATTTCGTAATACAGCCCACTCGATATCCTAAATTACTTTTAATGAATTTACCTGCTGGCAAATTCCCCATAAACCTAACCTAACCTAACCTAACCTGATCTAACATAATGTATCCTAATCTAACGTAACGTAATGTAATCTAACTTAACCTAACCTATCCTAATGTAATCTATTGACATAACCTAACCTGACCTAACCTAACCAAACCTAATGTAATCTAACATAACCTAACGTAACATAACCTTATGTAACCTAATGTAACCTAATGTAACCTAACATAACCTAACCTAACGTAACCTAACATAACGTAACCGAAGATAACCTAACGTAACGTAACTTAACCTACACTCTCATGTGTCCCTTACTCTTGGTAAGGCTGAACTTACCAATCTTGTTGTACATCTCCGGGAGGTAGAGCTCGGTCTTGCCCCGGCAGAACAGATGATATTCACTCTGCTCTGCAATGGGTGTGATGCAGTTGAACTGTCTGCAGTTGGTCCAGGCCTCCATGATCTCCACGGCTGACCAGCGGGATGTTCCCCAGTACATGCACCAGCCCTGGTCGATGCAGTGGGATGTTGCTCGCACCACCTCTGTAACACATATCACCAGGCTTTAGTGGTCGTTATCAACGCCTGCACGAGCACCAAACATCACCAAGCACACATGCACGGGCGCGCGCACACACAAACACACACATACAGTTGACAGTTGACAGTTGAGAGGCGGGCCGAAAGAGCAAAGCTCACACACACACACACATACTGAGACGGGACCAAAAAGGCAGAGCTCAACCCCCGCAAGCACAATTAGGTGAGTACACGCACACACACACACACACACATGGGGGCCTGGTAGCCTGGTGGATAGCGCGCAGGACTCGTAATTCTGTGGCGCGGGTTCGATTCCCGCACCAGGCAGAAACAAATAGGCAAAAGTTTCTTTCACCCTGAATGCCCCTGTTACCAAGCAGTAAATAGGTACCTGGGAGTTAGTCAGCTGTCACGGGCAGCTTCCTGGTGTGTGTGTGTGTGTGTGTGTGTGTGGTGTGGAAAAAAAAGTAGTTAGTAAACAGTTGATTGACAGTTGAGAGGCGGGCCGAAAGAGCAAAGCTCAACCCCCTACAAACACAACTAGGTGAATACAACTAGGTGAATACACACACACACACACCACACACACACATTGGAATTGATAGGGTAGATAAAGACAGGTTATTTAACACAAGGGGCACACGCACTCGGGAACACAGGTGGAAACTGAGTGCCCAAATGAGCCACAGAGATATTAGAAAATACTTTGTTAGTGTCAGAGTGGTTGACAAATGGAATGCATTAGGAAGTGATGTGGTGGAGGCTGACTCCATTCACAGTTTCAAGTGTAGATATGATAGAGCCCAATAGGCTCAGGAACCTGTACACCTGTTGATTGACAGTTGAGAGGCGGGACCAAAGAGCCAGATCTCAACCCCCGCAAGCACAATTAGGTGAGTACACACACACACACACACACACACACACACACACACACACACACACACACACACACACACACACACACACACACACACACACACACACACACACACACACATGAGCACCTAACCTTCCAAAGGACCAAAGTAGACTTCTTTGCATAGGACCAAGAAAGGATACCCCATAAAGGTCCAATACAGAGTATGCACCATAGGACACAGGGATACACCTGGCAAAGCTGCTGCGTGATAACAAAAACAACATTGTGTCAGTTGCACTGTTAGAACACATACGAAATGGAACTAGCGAGTCTAAATGGATTCAAAGAACAGCCACTCATATTAAAATGATGGGACTGCACGATGTATATACAGATGAAAGAGTACAGCACTTCCTTCCACCCTGGCAGATAGTACCTTTTGACATCCTGACCCCTGCATACCCCACCAAGAAACTAATCACAAGCAACCCTCATGCTCAGCTTGCTGCTAAATTAAGCACCATAGAGCACATTCACAATATACAAGCTGAAAACAACATTGCACAGACCATATACACTGACGGATCACTCAATACAGCTACAGGGAGGGCAGGAAGTGCTGTTATTGCTCATCAGCCTGATGGCAGCACAATTCAAAGAAATATCCGAATTAGTAACTGGGCGTCCACAATGCAAGCCGAGTTGGTAGCGATACTGGTAGCACTCGAAATTATTGACAACACTGAAGTAGACAGCTTAATTATTTCTGACTCCCTATCCTCACTACGAGCAATAAACAGTTTGCAATCAAGTAATAACGTGCTTGTCTTGGAAGCTAGACGTAGATATATAAGAATACTTAGCAAGAGGGTAAATATAAAAATGTTGTGGATTCCTTCTCACATTGGCATGCAGGAACATGACAAAGTTGACGCCCTTGCTAAGGCTGCAGTAAATAAAGACAGTATTGAATGGAATCTTGAGTTATCAAATAGGTCCCTTAAAAGTGTCATTAGACGAGAACTCCTAGATGGATTTGAAGAAAGTAGAACAGTGCAAACTGGAACTAGTAGGTCCATTGTTCATCACAATGAAATGTGTGAAGTAAAACATGTGTATGGGGCAAGTAACAAAGTCAGTAGACTAACAGATGTTGTCACAGCTCGTATAAGACTTGGCTACAAGTATCTCTGGCAGTTCGGCTTGTATAGGGATCTAGATGAAGTAAAGTGTAAAGTGTGTGGACATAGGCAGGGACACACACTCGAACACTATATCTTGGATTGTTGTAAAATTGAGCCTTTTAGAGATAAATCTAAGCTCACTCTGTGTGATATGGCAACCTATCTTATTACCATGGATAAATTACCTGAAATCCTTGCACTGTATCCACATTTTGCTTCCAGTAGATGAACGACATATGAGATTCAGAAACAAGTAGTGTATTGTGAGGACTAATAATAAACAGAAGCTCCCCTATGACTCTGTAATATCCCCATTGGCCAAACTATTATGTATTAACGATAAAACCTACCATTAATGTATGATGACTTACTGTAAATATGTAGCTCTTGTAATAGCACTTTCTCTGTAACTAGCTGACATTGTATCTATAAGGTGTGAAGGATTGAAGAAATTGTTTATGTAATAATCTAAGATGAGGTCTGATAAAGACCTTTTGTGCCCTCTGTAATGCTTTTGCGCTACCGCTCACAGGATGAGTATGGGGTGCACAATAAACTAGCCGCCTTCGGCGGCAACAATCAACCTGACACTATACCTTCCATATTACAAAGGGAGACACATAGCACCATACTTTCCTTAGGACACAGGAAGACACATACCTTCCATAGGACACAGGGAGACACATACCTTCCATAGAACACAGGTTGGCACATAAAACAATACCTTCCATTAGACACAGGGAGACACATGCATATAGCATACTATCAAGAGGGCACAATGAGACACATAGCACCATATTATCCATACAACACAGGGAGACACATACCTTCCTTAGGACTCAGGGAGACACATACCTTCTATAGGACTCAGGGAGACACATACTTTCTATAGGACACAGGGAGACACATACCTTCTATAAGACACAGGGAGACACATACCTTCTATAGGACACAGGGAGACACATACCTTCTATAGGACACAGGGAGACACATACCTTCCATGGGACACATATCGTCAGCACGATGAATGATGATAACATCGATGTAGTCCAGCTGAAGGCGCTCTAAGGAAGTTTTGACAGACTCAACGATGTGTTTCCTCGACAGGCCTCTCTCGTCCCCTCTGCACGGTGAAGAGAACATCGGTGCAGCATTAGGTGTTGATAAGGGGAATATCCTTAACCAGAATGACGATATTGCATTTACGAGGGACATGAGACAAACTAAGATATGAGATTTCTGGAAAACGGGGCAGGATATAAGGGTATAGGTAGGATATAAGGATGGAGGGAAGGACTGGGGGCCCATCCACTTTGACCATTAGGAATCGAACTCCGACCCTGCAAGAAACAAGGGCCGTCTTCCTACCAACCAGTCCAAGTGGCTGATATTCACTTTGTTATATATGTCGTTAAATCTATATTATAACATGGAGGTCAGATGCTTGCGGCTAGCCTCACCTAAACTTGTAGAGGGAATAGTCTGGGGTGCAGTACAGACATAGGCTGATCAGGGTAGGCCTAAGTTAAATGCTTAAAGAAATACATCTTGTGTTGAAAATTTCTACCAAAATTATAGCGTAACATGTATGATTAACTTTGTCTATGAAAGCCCATGAACCAGGCATGGCTATTTATAGAGCACACCAAGCTCTCTCAAGACAGAGAGAGTGAGAGTATCAAGTCAGGATATTGCGACCATTTTGTGAATACCTTCCCAAAAGGCCTTCTTAATAATCCATATCAGGATATGTAATTACATCTAATAAGCTATAAGTATATCATAGTATTACTCCAAAATAAATACACACATATTTAAGAAATACTTGTTTAACCAAATACTTTTGGTTAACGATAGTATAAAGGGTTCTTTAAAACAGGCAGGGCAATGATACCCGCCTTGGGGTGGATTGCATTAGTGTCCAGACGCTGTCACTTTAGTCAACAATACTCCACCACCATATAAGGACACTACACGATGTTCAAGCTGCTTAATTTGCAGTCGTTTAGCATCTATGGACCAGAATGGTGGTGTCAACTGCACATACAATGTGTATAAACTGCAAGACACTCTATTTAAAGTGTTTTGAGTGTCTTGCCATGAAACAGTGAGAGGAGTGTGTGACCACACCGTTGCCACAACAGCGATGCCTCACACCCTCACACACAAGTAAACATTACCATTTCACCCCATGGGGGCACCTCATGGTCATACAAGCTTTGTTTTAGCCGTTTATATTCCGTGAGCCCCCCTAATTGGTGGTGTAACACCGCACCTAAATGTGTATAGACATCAAGACACTCTATTTAATGCAAAATAAGGGCGTGTCTTACCATAAACTGTGAGTGGAGTGTGAGCAACACCTGACGCCTGAAACCAGAAGCCGACGGAGTCAACAACACTACACTTCACCATCAATAGTGAACAACACTACATGCTCTGGCCCAACAAGAAGGTTAAATCATATCATACTAAAATAGAGCTCAGTACCTGCATCTTAATAAAATAAGGAAGGTTGGTGGTGTAGAAAACAATAGAAATTGGATCCAATTCTTTGTGCCACTAACCCCATTATATTGCAGGTGCGGTTATCACCATGAGCTTACGAACTCACCTCAGTAAGTAAATTACTTGCCACTAAAATGAAAATATACTAAATAGGTTAATCAATATTCAACAAATATTTATATATTGCAATTGCTTAAAGATAAATTAAAGTATACATTTGCAATAGATAAATTCATAGCATTTAAGAATTAAATAATCTTCTCATTGTTTATAATATAATTCATATGTGGCAAGATGCCAGATCAAAAGGACAGGCTAAAATAATTGGTAGCATATCAGTGCCAGCTGCATTATTCCTGTTTACTAAGTGGTAAACTGGTGATTTTTCAACCAACAGGTTAATGAAAGCAGCACAATTATTGTTGGATCACCCTGATAATTGAACCACATAAGGAACACAGAGAATAGTACCCTGCGAAGAAAGCAATAGTTTCCTTGTGGCCACTGGATATGACTGTCACTGTAGATAGTACATTGCTGTTAAGTTGGTAGTTAGTTCCTTATTTTAGGGAGTCAGGAAATTAAAAAATCCCAAACCTTGTATCCTAACACTCTTATATGATTTCCATGAAGTCTGAAGCAAGAATAATTACAGAAAAAAAACACGTGATTCAGTTATGCATAAGTAATCACAAGACAAATGAAACGAAAATTCACAACTTTTTAATGATTCGCGACATTATCTAAGAATACAGATAAATTCCCATTGTTTGCATTCCTTGAAAAAATTGTGAAACATTCTGAAAGCGAAAACGTTCAGAATGTTCGTTTTATGTTCCTAGTGCATATTAAAACAGTTGGTATACTCTCCAAAATCAGATATTATGTACCTAACTCTGCTCTCATCTCTCTATATTATGCACTAATCTATCCCTATCTCAACTATGGTATCTGTGCATGGGGTTCAACCACTGCAAACCACCTCAAGTCCATCATCACCCAGCAAAAATCTGCTATCAGAATAATATCAAATTCTGCTTTCAGACAACACTCAGCCCCCTTGTTTAACTCCCTAAACATGCTAAACATAATCTCACTCCATAAATTCTCTTGTGTCAACTACATTTACAAAACCCTGTTCTTAAATGCAAATCCTGCTCTGAAACTCTTCCTGGACAGATGTAATAGGACCCATTATCACCACACCAGAAATAAATATCTCTTTGATATCCCAGAGTTAAACTTAATCTGTGTAAACACTCTGCAAATAAAGGGACCTGGTCTATGGAACTCGCTCCCTATTGAATTGAAAAGCTGTCCAACTTTTACATCATTCAAAATCAATACTAAAAAGTACCTAATTTCATCTTCATAGTTTTTCACCTTTTGCCTTAAAATTGCACTGTATCTATTGCTACCCCAATCTCCCAACCTTTATGTTCCCAATCTGAACATCTTTACCATTGTGATCATTGCTGTTTTCTTATATGTGCTGCCAATCTGCTGTATGGTGTTTATTAATCTTGTTTATCTGTATCTATTGCTACCCAGTCTCCCAATCTTTATGTACCCAATCTGAACATCTTTACCATTGTGATCATTGCTGTCTTCTTATATGTGCTGCCAATCTGTTGTATGGTGTTTATTAATCTTGTTTATCTGTATCTATTGCTACCCAGTCTCCCAATCTTTATGTACCCAATCTGAACATCTTTACCATTGGGATCATTGCTGTCTTATATGTGCTGTCAATCTGTTGTATGGTGTCTATTAATCTTGTTTAAATTACCAATCAAGCTGTCAATGTAATCAATCAGAGCTTTAATATAACAATGTGCTTTAATATACTTACTAAGCTCTCTCATCTTATTTTTCTCTTGCAATGTATTTGTTATCATTTATCAATTCTGATGGAAATTACCTACTTAAAATTATCTGTTAGATTAAGGACCTGCCCGAAACGCTGCGCGTACTAGTGGCTTTACAAGAGTGCAATTACTGTCCTATGCTATGTATTCTCACAAACCCAATGTACCTTCTTGTATATAAATAAATAAATAAATAAATAAATAAATAAATAAATAAATAAATAAATAAATAAATAAATTTACGCATAAAGTGTGAAATGGAAGCAGGATTAAATTGGGAGCGTTGTGTCCGTAGAGTGATTACGCTCTTCCAGCATTTACTTTATATTCTTGAAGATATCCTCACAGTGTACCCAAAATTTGCCAGTGCCGGCTACTAAACATATGACCCTGTATGACTAACCATCCTGCGAGATGGGGACTTGTATTACCACTGCTACCTTATTCAATCTTGTGTTGATGATATCCTCAAAATGCATCCGGAGTCTGTCAGTGCAGACCGCTTATCACATGCCTCTGTATGACTAACCATCCTGTGTGATGGGGATTTTTTAGCATCACTTAGTTAGCTTTTTTGACACACTGTACTCCACTTCATATAGTCTAGGGTAGCTGCACTAATGCAGATGTACCTCATATATTAATAAAAAAAAATTACTTTATAGTTTTCATATATATATATATATATATATATATATAGGTAGGGTTGGTTATATATATATATATATACATATATATATATATATATATATATATATACTATGTACCTAGTAGCCAGAACGTCGTACTTGGACTACTATGCATGGCCCGATTTGCCTAATAAGCCAAATTTTCATGACCGAACCTAACATACCCTACCTAACCTAACCTAATCTATCTTAACCTAACCTAACCTAACCTAACCTAACCTAACCTAACCAAAACTAACACAACTAAGTCAATAAATTATGATCTTAATATAATACAATAATAATAATTCAAATAAACTAATTAGAAGCAATTTATTGAAAATAAAAAATCACTCGGCCTATTAGGCAAATCGAGCCTTGCATTGTAGGCCGAGAAGTGCGTTCTGGCTACTAGGTACGACATATATATATTTATATATATATGTCGTACCTAGTAGCCAGAACGCACTTCTCAGCCTACTATGCAAGGCCCAATTTGCCTAATAAGCCAAGTTTTCATGAATTAATTGTTTTTCGACTACCTAACCTACCTAACCTAACCTAACCTAACTTTTTCGGCTACCTAACCTAACCTAACCTATAAAGATAGGTTAGGTTAGGTTAGGTAGGGTTGGTTAGGTTCGGTCATATATCTACGTTAATTTTAACTCCAATAAAAAAAAATTGACCTCAGACATAATGAAATGGGTAGCTTTATCATTTCATAAGAAAAAAATTAGAGAAAATATATTAATTCAGGAAAACTTGGCTTATTAGGCAAATTGGGCCTTGCATAGTAGGCCAAAAAGTGCGTTCTGGCTGCTAGGTACGACATATATATATATATATATATATATATATATATATATATATATATATATATATATATATATATATATATATATATATATATATGTCGTACCTAGTAGCCGGAACGCTCTTCTATGCCTACTATGCAAGGCCAAATTTGCCTAATAAGCCAAGTTTTCATGAATTAATTGTTTTTCGACTACCTAACCTACCTAACCTAACCTAACCTAACTTTTTCGGCTACCTAACCTAACCTAACCTATAGAGAT